TCGGGATTATAACTTAGCCAGTGCTATATTACAGAAAAATATGAGGTGATTTTTTGAAATAATACGATGCGTTTTGTACAGCTACATGACAGTGCCTGCATGGAATTGTGGAATTTGAGAACAAATACAAGCCAGTGGCAAAATACAAAAAGCGAGCACATTCTCAAGACAAATCTCAATGAAAATAATAGTGAAAATGTAGAGCAATGTCCTGTGGAGTCAGACTACATGATGTATTTTTAATTATGTACCATATTCGGAACAGAGAATCCCAGAATGCACCATTCCTCTGTGCAACTCTAAACTTGATAACTGCTTGGAGATTTCCAATGATCATAGTTCAATAAAGGGTTGGCTAACTAATCTTGTCAGAGCATAGGAAGAACATTGCAAACTGTTTTACATACCATTGCATAAACCATGGCAACCACTTGGCAGGTAGACTCAGGCTTGTGTGATGGCTTGTGGGTTGGTATGAATAGTCAGTGGCTGTAAAACTTGATGGAACACTGGTATAATTTTTCCTGCCAAAAATTCTAGACTGTATTTTACAAAGTTGGGAACTTTTATGCAATTCATGTCATGTCAAGGAACCTTGAGATTAATATAGTACATGTTTAATTAAATGTACAAAATCTTCCCAAGCATTTACTCAATCAGATAATCACCAGTGTGATAAATGGATAACCAGTCTAATCCTTCATGACTAGATTCTCATTAGACAATGCACTATGTTTTTAGTTTCATCTAAAAATTATAAACATGCTTTTATTTTTTTTTCTTCTATTTTTTTGGGTGCAAGAAATAATTCATTGTTTTTATGTTTACATCAGATACACTTTCATTTACATACATGAACACTTTTCTTTGCTTATTGTGGACAGATTTTATAACACTTTCTCTCAAGTTATAGGTATATATAGTCCAATATTAGTTTTCCAATATGTAATGATTGATTTGTGTTGATTAATATGCATTATTAATCTTGTATTAAGGTATCAGCACATACACTCTCCTGGGGGGGGGGGGGGGTCCATAGCAAGTATTTCCCGCCAGTAGAGCTCTTTCGACTGATGGGTAATTTTGAATGACAGAAAATGAAGAATTGATTCAGCACTCTTAGTCTCTGGAACTGCTTTCAGATTATCTGCTTCAAACTTTTCGTTTTAGATGACATTCATCTTTGATACATGAAGAGAGTACTGGATGACAATGTGGTCAATTATATGCCAGAATATACAGCTACAGTGCATGAATTGTCATGCTAAATTAGACTTT